GAGCAAGTCGGAGCAAAACTATACGGTGTATGACCGCGAACTGCTGGCGATCTATGCGGCGTTTCGCCGATGGAGACATCTGTTAATAGGGGCGCAGCACAAGATCCAGGTTTGTACTGATCACAAGAACTTGGAATACTGGAGGACCTAAATCCATTACACTGATGTTGGGAAAGATGGAGGGCACAAGGAGAAGGGGACGACAGAGGACGAGATGGTGGGACAGTGTTCTCGAAGCTACGAACATGAGTTTGACCAAACTGCGGGAGGCAGTGGAAGACAGGAGTGCCTGGCGTGCTCTGGTCCATGGGGTCACGAAGAGTCGGACACGACTAAACGACTAAACAAACAAACAAACAAACAAAACCATTGTGGCAATCCCATGCACACATACCGGGGTGTAAGTTCCTCTGAACTCCTTGGAGTTATTTGAGTAGGTATGAATGGTGCTGTGCCCTGCTGAAACCAATGAAATAAGTTACTTGCAAATAACTAAAAATACTACACTTCAGATTGAATTTAGTCATGTAGTTAGATCATTAACTGTGAGTCATGCATAAAAACCTATTCATTTGCCATTATAAATACTTATTTTAAAAAGGCTTAGCTTTCTAATGTTGGTTAGCATTGCAGCATTCATATTTAGAATCTCCCAAAGAGATTACTGAAATATTCACCTGATTCTTTGTCTCTTTTTTTTTCTTTTCTTTTTACCAATACAAACAAAACAATAGCAGCTTCAAAATATAGGGCAATTCTAGCATTATAATTTAAGACTTCCATTACCTGGTTCTAGAAACCACAACAGAATCAAAACAAAACAAAACAGAGAGAACAACAAGCCTCGGGTGTGCCATTACTTGCTTTGTTTTTCTCGTCAAATCACTCTATGAGTTGTGATCACCAACTACTAGCCGATTTCTGTTCAAATGTCAATATAACAAAAAACCTTTCTTTTTTTTTTAAGGAAAGGAAAAGGAAACCAAGTGAAAATGCCATTAAATGGCTCCACAATCTAGAAGTTACAATGGATGTCACAATGGAGTAAGCCATTCATACACAGAAACACACAATGAAGGTTGGGGCTTCTGCAGATTGCAACGACCTTTAAAACAAATGGAGGGTTGAGGTATTGTGAAGGAAAGGTCCTGATTAACAAGTCATACTATGGCACAGGAAAAGCTTGCTCCACAGCGCAACCCTATGCAAACATTCAGAATTACGTCCCATTGATATTAATTACTTTCCCATAGGTAGTAAATGTAGGGTTACAGTTTAAGTGTGTTCAAATTTGGTTGGATTTCCTCCCAATTACTAACATGAAAAGGTCAAAAGAAACCCAGATAAGAAAGAAAAATGTTGATGAAAACAATGAAAAGGACAGACAAAATAGTTTTAGACTCACTGCTATAATTTGGTAAACCAGAAATAATGCTAAAATGTCCAGAACATTTTCATGCTGAAGTAATGTGGAAAATGGTCTTTATTTCATAGAAGTGTATGTCAAAACAATCAAGAATTTAATGATTATTGACAAGCACTGTGTTCCCTTCATTACTTCATCTTGCAAATTTTGCATTTGCTGTCTGAAGCAAATGCAGCTTATCTGCTCTTTCATATTGTTCATCTGATCTGACATCTGACTCAACAACAACAACAACAACAACAACAATCTTTATTACGGTCCAGAGACCCAACAAATCATTACAAAGCAATACACAATTCATACAGCCTACCTCCAGGTTAAACAAGCATTTTGTTCAGAATATAGGGATCATTGGTTCTTGCAACCACTGATAAAAACTTTGCCACTGCTAATGTTCTAGCATTTGTCCGGTCTTCCAACCTGACATAGTGAGCCTCTGATTTTCCCGGGAAAGGTACCAGCAAGGGTAGTATCAGTTCAGCCCTGGCTTGCTCATATTTTGCACAGTGCGACAAAATATGTTTTATGGAATTGATGTCTTGAGCACACGAGCAAAGTCTGTCCTGGTAGGGAACTCCTCTCAACCTGCCATCCAACACTGCAGAAGGAAAGACGTTTAGTCTGGCTTTGGTGAAAAGCCTTCGATAATTTGGTACTGTCAGGTTTTTAATGTAAGATGTTAACTTAAAGACATGCCCATATTGTACTCCTACTGACAGCGGACTACAGACTGTGTGTGATCGAGATCGCAAGTCACTGTGTGCATTATCCCATAATCTTTGCTTTAACATCTTTGGGGCGCCTTCATAACCCAGGTAATACAGTTGGGGGGGGGTGACAGACCAATAGAGGTGGCTTTTTTAGCCATGGTTTTCTGCCATTTGCTGACAAATTCCTCATTGGTCAGGTGTTGGTACAAACCCTTCCCTAGATCAAATACTGAAATCCTGAGCCAATGTTTTAGGGCAGCCCACCACGTTTTAGTTGAAATTTGGCATTCACCAGCTTCTAACAGAAGTATGGATTTGGGGACACAGGTGGGTACCTGCAGCAGAGATCGTAGAAATTTTGCCTGAAAGCCATCTAGCTTTGGCAGGTCCTCATTATGCCAGACATTTGCAGCATGCAGGAGTTGGGAAACGAGTTTTGCGTTGAAAACCCTTAAGGCCGCTGGAACATATTTGCCACCCTTTGTGAAAAAGAATCTGAGTATGGCTAGCTTTGTGATCTCCGCCTTTTGAAGGGAGGTTTGCCAGTGGTGCTTCCAAGATCCTGTATGATGGAATGTGAGCCCTAGATAACTGAAGTATTTGATCTGTTCAAGGTTATGGCCATCCAGCACCCATTTAGACCGGGAGAAGCTTCTTTTGAAAACTAAAATTTTAGATTTTTCATAATTAATGGATAAACCATTTCCAAAACAGTAATTAGAAAATTTCCTCAGCAGGTAATTCAAACCCGGTCTGCAACGTGAGATGATGGCCGCGTCATCAGCATATAAGAACAAAGGGGTCCTTCTCATTCGTATTTTTGGAAGGTGTCCATCTGGGTCCATTAAGCTCTCTTCTAGGTCATTCAAGAATAGACAAAACAATGTGGGAGCCAAAATGCATCCCTGTCTCACCCCTCTAGCCATCTCGATGCTGTTCGATAACTGTCCTTGTTGACCGCATCGGACCTGCAGTTTGGTTCCATTGTACAGGGCTTTTATAAGAAAGAGGAGTCGTTTGTCCTGCAAAATCAGATTTAGTTTGGACCATAGCTGGGATCTGGGGATGGAGTCAAACGCTGATTTCAGATCCATGAAGGCCACAAAGAGTTTACCCTGTAGAGGCCTGGTATACTTCTCGGCTAGGAAGGACAGCATTAGACAGTAGTCTGATGTTGAATGGTTCTCATGAAAGGCTGCCTGGGCTTCAGATAGTATATTATGTTCATTTAGAAAAGTTGTCAGTTTGCTATTGAGGAATCGGGCATACAGCTTCCCAATTATTGAGAGCAGGCTAATTGGCCTATAATTGGAGGGTACATTTGGGTGGCCTGTCTTAAAGATTGGGACTACTATAGCATGTTTCCAGCTATATGGTACCTTACCCGAATTATTTACTACCGTAAAAAGTGCTGCCAGAAGCGGAGCCCACCAGTGCTGGTTTGATGTAATCAGTTCCGCTGGGATAAAGTCTTTCCCCAGAGCCTTTCCGCTCTTCAGATTCCCAATTAATGTATGGACTTCCTCCACAGTAATCGGCCTCCAATGAGGGAGCAGTGACAATTCTGCCCTGTCATCATCCTGGAAGCTGGAAGGGAGGTTTGGATTTTCCATAAATATATTTCTGAAGTGGTTCTCCCAAACCTGAGCTGGAATGGCACAGCTGGGGGCTGAACAACTATTTTTCATTGAGTCGGAGACCAGTTGCCAAAAGAGTTTAGTTTCATTGTTTCAATAGCAGGGACCAGGAATTTTGTTCAGACTGCCTTTTTTTTGAGGCCAAAAGGGCTTTATACTCTTTTTTGATTTAGAAATAAGATGGAGGTAAGTAATTTATCCCAGCGTTTCTATAGGCCAAATAAGCGTTCCTTAAGGCTTCCTTCTTTGTACGGCACTCTTGGTCAAACCAGCAGCGCCCTTTAGCAGTGTGTGGCTTGCTGGCTGACTTTATGTTGACAGAGAACACATCCTGCAAGGACTCAATGAGATTTTCGTAAGCCGTCAGGGAGGAATCTATTGATAAATTGTTTATTATAATTGATCTTAACTTAATTGCAGTTTGTGAATTCAATCTATTCTCAACTGCAATTGCTATGTCAGGTGTCCATTTTTTCCTACGCAATGCTGGATCATTTGCTCTATCTATTTCCTCATGTTCTATGTAAGAGCGCTGAATTGAGTTTTGGCCAGTAGTGGAGACGATTCGAGGTAGGTGGTCGCTTTCAGTCCTATTATCTATGTTGGATTTTTTAATTGATTAGAAGGCCTCCCTGTTAGTGAGACAGTAGTCTACTGTGCTGGCTCCATTTGTATTTATGAATGTGTACTCGCCTTCTCTGTCCCCGGGGAGCGCCCCATTGGCAATGATAAGGTCAAGACTTATTTGTAAAAAAGCCAGACAGAAGCCAGCATAGTTGATTTGACAATCTTTCGAATGTCTACGAGTGGGTGGGTTTAGAAAGAGGGAGCTATTTTCCTTTAGATCTCTTATTATTGTGTTTGCACTGTATATGGTGGGATATAAGCTGAAACAAGAATGATACTCTTGGATTCCAGATGCAAAGTGATCCCCAGTGCCAGCTGCTTGAAAACTGAGCACTCAGTAACCTTTGACGCCAATTGAGTGGAAACCAGAGTTACTAGGCCCCCCCTCGGTCGTCTCCTTCCGAGCGGTTTAGAGGCCTTGATTTCATAGGCGTGGTAACCGTCGAGAACTATGTTGTCAGTTGCCCAAGTTTCCTGCAGCATTATTATGTCAAAACCTGTTATATATTCACGAAATGGCTCGTCCCCTAGTTTGTTGGCCCAACCCGCTATGTTCCACGAGATAATGTTAAGGCTGCACGTTCCATAACTGGCTTGGCTTCATTGTGGTGGGGAAATTGTTATCAGCTCTCCCACTGGTTCGGTAATGATGCAACCATTCTTAGGATATGCACGGTGTTGTTCTCGGGGTTGAGTTGCAGCATTTTCCCGATTTCCCGGCATCAGCAGTGTTATCTGAATTGCTGGGACCATCGGGGGGTCTTCTTCAAAGACAATTAAATCTGTCTCTGGCTTTCTGTGTGTCACATTTCCCTTGGAAGGAGCATCACTTGGCATTGGCTGATCAGATTCCAGCCGGGGTAAAGAGTGGTGAAATTCAGGATCTGCCAAAGGCGTAATGGAGTGTACTATCTTTGAATTATCTAGATTGGGCTGGCGTTCTTTGTGTGTTTGGCCTTTTTGCTCTGACGTTATCCTCTCCAAGGGAGTGTTACGGCTGGGTTTGCCGCATGTATCCATCTTTGACGGCCCTTCCGTATGAATGATGGCCCTATGGCGAAAACCCTTCGGCAGAGAGGGCGTTGATTGCTTGGGGTTGGTCCGGCTATATGACAAGTTTGGCAGTAGTTGTTTTCTTTCTGTGTCTTTAAAAACGTGCCTCAACTCAATATTATAGTCCTGTAAGAGGGTCCTATATTTCAGAAGCATTTTAGGGGTAGCTGAGTCAGAAAATGTCAGCATGAGTCTAGTGTGCTGGGGGTCCGTGCAAAGCAAGTTTATCGCGATCAGAGTGTTGCAATGGATATTTAGTAAAAGCTTAAAGTTTCTCTTCACACTGTCGATTGATTTCCAGTAAGGCAGCATACCATTAAAAGAATATATATCGAAAGCTACTTGAGTGCTTTGTAGGATCAGACTTTTGCTTTTGTTGTTTTGTTTTTACTATTTGTAGTCTCTCGTTTATCAAGTCCAGACCGGTTACACCCCTGTACACGATGGTCTAGGGGGAGGGCAACACTGTGGTCGGTCTCTTTAGTACTGAGTGAGCTATTTTTGGCTGCCAGAAGCACCAACTCCGTCAGGAGAGACGTTACCTTTTCTAATTTGATGTTAATTTCCTCCACTGTTCTTGCAGTCAGCAGACAGTGGTCCGCGAGTATTTCTGAGGGTGCCCCCTCAGATGGGATAGTTCATGAGCGCTCATCTCAGCATTCTCCCCTGGGTGATCTCCACCCATTAAAGCATCTCCACCTACCTGGGAATGAGTTCTATTTGATGTAGTAGGTTCTGAGTTCTGTGCTCTTACAAAATTGTCCATTTTACTCTGCTTGCTCTTCTGCTGTGGGCTCACTTGTGGAGATGAGGCCGGTCGCTTCTTTTTCCTAGACATTTTCCCAGAGATAGAGCCGCTACTAATTTCTGCTGTAAATCAGGAAGCTCGGCATCCTCCCACGATAGGGTGTTTAATCTCCACTCCTGCTGATAAGTAGTTGGTAGGTTTAGTTGAGCTGGAGCTAATTAAGGCTTTCTCCGAGACTTTCCAAGACTTTCACTAAGTCTTTTAACTCAAGCCCTTAACTCAAACTTTGTGAATATAATAGCTGCCAAATGACAGGGATAAAATACTGTTGCTGATAAAAGCTAATAAAAGACTGATAAAAATAATAAAAACCGCATCAACTGATGCGGAGCTCAAGTCAACGCTGTTAGGATATTTCCGTTGCTCCTTAAAAAGGGAACAGGCTGTTGTGTGTCACAAGCCTGTGTACTTCCTGCTCACAGGGAGTTTCCGTTTTGTATATAGCTTTTGTTTCTGTCTGTTTTCCTCGACATGGTTGCAAGCAGTCATGTTTTTCCTTTGTTCTGACCAACATTGAATAAAGCTGTAATTATGCTCTCCTGGGTGAATCTTCCGTTGTGGAAACTCTGCGAAAAGGGCGTGCATGAGTCCTGGAATGTGTCTGAGGCTCGTGTTGCTGATTGACTGATACTGTTTCTACGGGAGACCGGGAGATCGCCCAGAGACGACGATGGAGGCCTGCCTGATTGCCCTTGTCTCCCTGGCAGAATCCCAACAGACGCTACCATTAACAATGCCATCTTCCTATACACCCATCTGATTCAGTAATGATATGATGCTATTTCTGGTCTCAGTGCTGAACAGATGCATGCTAAATTTGTTAAATTCCAATAATTAATTATTTAATAACTATAAAGCATGAAAACAATTACCGTATTTTTTGCTCTGTAAGACTCACTTTTTCCCTCCTAAAAAGTAAGGGGAAATGTGTGTGTGTCTTATGGAGCGAATGCAGGCTGCACAGCTATCCCAGAAGCCAGAACAGCAAGAGGGATTGCTGCTTTCACTGCACAGCGATCCCTCTTGCTGTTCTGGCTTCTGAGATTCAGAATATTTTTTTTTCTTGTTTTCCTCCTCCAAAAACTAGGTGCGTCTTGTGGTCTGGTGCGTCTTATAGAGAGAAAAATACGGTAATTCCTTATCTTTCGTTCTTGTGGGCCTAAAGGCAGTTCTAGAAACAACCTTTGAATATTTTCCATTTCTGTTTCTCAAGATACTGATGACATGAAATAGCATCTTTCAAACATTAATCACTTAATGGCTACAGCTAGGGAAAATAACCCTTTAAAAAAATGTCCATAACTACTACAGCCTCATTCTGCTCATAACACACAGAGCATGGAGGAGACAGCTTGTGAATCTATGCAGTCTACAATACTGCCATGACGAGTTGGCTATTCTACAGATGAAAGAGTATAATCTTTTGCACATATAAGTAGTTGAAATCAACCATGCTGAATTCACTGACACCGGTTGCAAGTTCTCTTTGATCCAGCATACTTGTGTCAGATGTTGTCATAGAAGAAGTCACCCCAATAACCCAAAGAAGGTTAGTGGCTTTGACTTTGAAAGACACCAGAATCTCTTGTGATCTTCCTCACTTCATAGCAATGAGAAAGATTATTATCGAAACCTGTCCTCCCATTTCTCAAAGTGTTTTCCTTGGAAAAGAGGCTTCCATTTATCTACTTCATTCTCAGGGAACTTTAGAATTTGCGTCAATGTAGCTGATTTTGAGCTTACCTTAACATTGCAAGGTAGGCAAAAGTAAAGTGTATGTTCTTTTCCATTAAACATTTCTCCAGCACCCTCCCTGGAAACAAATGTTTCCTGGCCTTAAAGAGCTTCATAGGAGGGGTTAACTCACAATATCTTCCCCTGTACTTTGATTGAAGGGAAGGCACCTGGGGAGGCTGCAGACTGCAGACCACTGGTGGGATGACTTGTAAAATGAGAGAAAGGACACTTAGAAAACATCCCACAGGCACCACAAAGATAAGGTAAGCACAACAAAAACCTGGCACCCCACCCATGAGAATTTCACCAATGCTTGATTTCACCCTTGATAATTTTGAATTTTTATTTATTTATTTATTTTATGGAGAAAGGTCAGAAAAACTGCAGGAGAAATCTTAAGCAGAGAACCAACAAAGTCACACAATTTTTAATAAGTGTGGCATACTGATTAGAATACTAAACTAGAACTGGGGGAGGGGGGAGAGAGACAGGTTCAAATTCCCACTTAGCTAAGTTCCTGAGGTAGACCTGAGCTGATACAATTTTCTTTTAAACAACAACAACAAAAAATGATAGCAGTGTGTTCAGATTCAGATGATTCTCAAGGCAAGGCAGAGAGGCTCAGTGGATTTTGAGCTTCCCCAGTGAAGTAGGTTCCTCAAAGCATAAACCCCTGAAGTACAGGTGCAACTCGGAAAATTAGAATATTGTGGAAAAGTTCATTTATTTCAGTAATTCAACTTAAACGGTGAAACTAATATATGAGATAGACTCATGACATGCAAAGCGAGATATGTCAAGCCTTTATTTGTTATAATTGTGATGATCATGGCATACAGCTGATGAAAACCCCAAATTAACAATCTCACCAGATGATGACATGGCTCCCCAAATCAACACAGACTGTGGAAACTTCACATTGGACTTCAAGCATCTGGCATTGTGTGCCTTCCCATTCTTCCTCCAGCCTCTGGGTCCTTGGTTTCCAAATGAGATGCAAAAGCTGCTCTCAACAGAAAAGAGATTTGGGGAGCCATGTCATCAGCTTGTGTTGGTCCACTGTGCTTCATTAAGTCCAGGGTCAATGTAGCCATCTACCAAGAGATTTTGGAGCACTTCATGCTTCCTTCCGCAGATGAGCTTTATGGGGATGCTAACTTCATTTTCCAGCAGGACTTTGGCACCTGCCCACACTGCCAAAAGTACCAAAACCTGGTTCAATGCCCATGGGATTACTGTGCTTGATTGGCCAGCAAACTCGCCTGACCTGAACCCCACAGAGAATCTATGGGGCATTGCCAAGAGAAAGATGAGAGACATGAGACTGAGCAATGCAGAAGACCTGAAGGCTGCTATTGAAGCTTCCTGGTCTTCCATAACACCTCAGCAGTGCCACAGGCTGATAGCATCCATACCATGCCGCATTGAGGCAGTAATTGATGCAAAAGGGGCCCAAACCAAGTAATGAGTACATATGCATGCTTCTACTTCTCAGAGGTCCAATATTGCTCTATTTGCAGTCCTTGTTTTGCTAATTTCATTTAATATTCTAATTTTCTGAGATTGTTAATTTGGGGTTTTTGTTCTAATTTTCTAATTTTTTGTTCTAATATTCTAATTTTCCGAGTTTCACCTGTATGATTCTTTGTACTTCTAAGCATTAGTACCCAAAGGGAGTCTGTGGGATGATAAGCCTGCATACAATCTGGCTGCACCACCACCATAGGTAGGGTTGTCCAACACATCTGGCTGGGTGGGAACTGAAAGTAGCTTTGGACTTTAGAAGTGAAACAATATTTAACAGGAGTGCAGATATGTGGGGGGGTTTGTGACAATTTAGGAAATTATGGAGAATCAGCAGCATTTGGGAGCCACAAGGAATGACAATATTTGGGGGCAATGTTCATATGCTATCCTGCTCCTCTCTCCAATAGCTTGCTTATAATACCAGTACTCTTTTCTCCACAAGGAAATAGCCTCTGTTAAGCTTTCCTGGTAGTTCCTTCCACACTTCCACAAAAAAGCCAAAAAACCCACACCCAATCCTGAAAATTAGACCAAGATGAAGAATACTTTGGCCTCAAGTCTCCAGATGATCAAGGGAATTTGTACACAGGTCTCCCAGACCTTAGTCTAGCACTCTAGATAATACTACACCATACTGAGTTTTAAGAATACTGTTGCAACAAGAACAACAACAAAATTAAACACTGGTTGGTGAAATAAGACAATAAATACTGAAACTGGATGCTGATTTGCTGTCAATCCCCAAATAGTTGATATTTATTTCAAAGGACATGCCAAAAGCTTGAATTATAATTTTAAATATTTGACTTTGAAATCCACTACAGTAGAATCTTGCTGAGTTTTGGATTAAAGGCTATATTTCAAAGCTCAGTACATTCTCTTTTCCTCATTGATG